ACATTCACTTAATTTAGGCTAAGTGAATGGAGAGATTTTCTACACTTTTTGTTTGGTAGAATAAGGAAAGAAGGTGCAACTTAGAGGTTGCAACTTGGGAAAATCTCTTGAATGGGGTTCAAAGAGATCCATTCATTTTGCCCAATTTGAGGCTTGGCAAATGAAGGAGAATTTAGACATTTCCTACCATTTGGCTTGTAGAAAATGAAAAGGGGAAAATGTAACTTAGAGGTTGCAAATCGGAGGAGTTTCCTTGAACATTTGATGTCCAAAGAAAGGGATTTTTATTCATCTAATTTATTTAGGAATGAGATGATTTTTTCCTACAACTCTTGAGTTGTAGAAGGGAGAAGCAACAAGCAACTTATGGGTTACAAGTTGAAGGAAATCCCTTGAACGTTTGGTGTTCAGGGAGAATATATCATTCACTTAGTTGGGGTTGAGTGAATGGAGAATGATACTCATTTATTGATTTTATGACTCAACAAACGAAGGAGGTAGCTTAGGATTTGACCCTAAGCTCCAAATGATTCATACAATGATATATTTGGATTCATGGAAAGAGGCGATGCGTACTTGAAAGGAATTTTCCTACGTCTTTTAAAGTGTTTTGGACTCAATTTGAGGAGGGAAGATTCAAGATTGATTTCATAAGGCTTTGGAGAGGTCTCTAAATCAATTTTGGCATGATCTAAAAAATTTGGAAGTTCAAGAGATCTAGGAAACATGATTTTGACTCATGTTAAGGTATGAAAACACATCTAAGGTCTCTAAGAACAATCCAAACAATTTTGTCATGAATGGTGATCGAAGGTTTTCTAGGGAAGATCCTAAAGATCAATTTTGATAAGACTCGGTTAATTAAAACATTGATGCGAGGTTTCAATCTCTAAGGATTTTGATCATTGCATTCAATGATTGGATTTAGAAAATCACACAAATGGAGTCAGATAAACTTGAGCATGAAGGCTCATGGGCCTTTGAGGGCCCATGCCATATCTCAAGCCCACTTCAAGATTAGATAAGCCTAATTAGTTAATTTTCCAAATGCCAAATGTGGTGGATGTAAACCAACAATGATCATCACTTGCGTGCTCTAAATTTAGCGAAAAGATTAATCATGAATTTGGTTGGTCATATAGACATTGTGGGGTTTAGGTCTATGGGAAACTCCACAAAGATCGATTATCAACAATATTGTTTCCAACCAAACACATTCATTAGACATTCACTAACTTGTAGAGGCTATCAATTCATACATGTAAACTCTCCAAAGTTTATTTTGGTTTTGTCATGACACAAAAATTAGGTAGTTTACATGCTAGAGGACCATTCACTATCATCCTTATACATGAGAATCAAGAGATGCAAAGCATGTTTAAGTATTTCAAGAACACATAAGGGTTTGACTTATGGGTCTTTGGAAACCCACACTTACCCCAAGTTTGTCTCATAAATCAAATGAACATGCTTAACGGTTTGCCAACAATTTTAAAAGCATGTAATCCTTAAAGAAAGAGACCTATGACATTTTATTTAGATCAATTTTGACATAATCTAAATCCTAAGCACCATGAAATTGATTTGGTCAAATGCATACCCTCCAAATTTGGATGATATGACGACGAAGCCTAGGTTTGTTATAGGCAACGGTTTGAACACAATATGAATGTTATTACATGCATTTGAGAGGTGTTGGATACCAATCCAACACCCCTACGCATATTGGCATGCCTCTTTGGCTCTCCCAAGAGAGCAAACAAACGGAAATTACTAGATTTCCACTGTTTTGCGGAGAGGACAGCCAACGAAGGGTTTTGGGCAAGCACAAATGAAGCTTCTAAGGGACCTAGGGTTTGGGGCTCCCCCGTGTTTGTCTGTACTGAACGAAAATAGCCCAATCAGGCATCTCTATGCGCGAAATGAGGGAAAGGCATAAATCGAATGGGATTTTAAGTGAAATCTCAGCTCTTGATCAAGAAATTTGATTTGGGAAATCAAATCAGCCATAATCTCATCAATTAGGACTAAAATTGAATCTGAATTGGATTCGAATCAAATCGATTTGAGTCGGTTTAGATTTGATTGTGTCCGATCTATCTAATTTTGTGAAATTAGTCTTGAATCAGCGCCGAATTGCGTCGAATTTGGTTCGACGGGGCTCAACGAGGTTCGATTGGTTTTGATTCGATTTTAATTGAATTAAATTTAATTAAATTAAGGTTAATTTGATGAAATTAAAATTTATTTCAACAAATTAAGATCCGATTTCGCTTTGACGGCGTTTGATCGAGTTGAACGAGTGCGATCGAATTCAATCACACTCGATAGAGGTCGGGTAGATACGAAAATGTTCATCAACATAGGCTAATGGAAAATAATTGTTGACCTAATACTTGGTGTTTTAGTGGACTCGTTGACAACATAATTCCCTTTGTTCAATCTATATTGACTCTTTCTTACCAATTCTCATCATTCATGAGCCTCAAATTTTGTCGCCTAACACAGGTGACTTTTTTGAATTTTCTTGTGCGCCAGTCCAAGCAATATAGCTATTTTTCTTGGTAATTTAAAATTTCATGACACATGGTATGGTCTATTTTGTAAAATGGGCATCAATTGTGTACTTTGCATTATAATTGATGCATTTTTAAGAAGACAATCGTGAAATTGTGTCCATTGGCCATCATTTTCATCATATTCAATAAAATCAATCACAATGTTCCTTTCTTGTTAATCTTAAAGCACTAGATGAGTCAATGTTGTCTGTTTGCAACACAAGTGACAGTGGAGTATTTTTTCAGGGATGCATTTCAAATTAGACCTGTTGAGATAAGGGATTGACTCTATCAAAAAAATTGGGAGATTGTTAACACGTAATACCAAATTTCTTATTTTATTTATTTATATCTAGAATGTATGCATGTGATCGTTGCTAAAATAAAGGGAAATTTAATATGTGAGCCATTTTTTGAAGTGAAAAGTTAGAATAATGCAGAACTTTTAAAAAAGAGAGGCATAGGCCAAGTAAAAGAAATGCTAACTATATTCTCTCAAAGAGAGGAAAAAGTCAGATCTTTCTTTTGTGTGTGTGTGTGTGCAAACATTATTCTCTCAAATGAATCTCTGAAAAATAAAAAATTCAAGGTAAATTAAATTCAAATCCCTAGACTTTTGCTCAGAAATGATTAGGTTCACCAACCTTAAAATTTGATAATTATGTCCCTCTGCATAAAATCATTTCATCGAGCCCAAATGTTTTTAAATACTAAAGGGAAATATTGCACATAATTGTTAAGGTTCAATCTTAAGGGAGCTGGATGTAATTTATGCAAAAGTCAAACCCTTTAAACACATTGCTGCACACTGTGCTTCCATACCACATGGAAACTCGAATATCATAAAATTGGATTAGTATTGAGTTCAACTCCCAGCCAAATCTTCCTAGCCTAGGGCTCTGTTAATGAATTGGGATAACTGAAATCATCCATAATGTTCATGATAAGTGGCATACAGGACCAGAAGCATGCATTTATTAAAGTAACAAGCACTTGCGCGGCACATAATGCATTAAGGCTTCGTTTGGGACAGCTTTTTTACTTCTTCTTAAAGCAGCATTTTAGTACAAAATTTTTAATTTTTGTACAAGAAAGCTGTTTTAAGAAGCAGGAAGAAAGCCGTCCCAAATGAAGCCTAAGTGGAAATATTGAAAGCAAGAATGAGGAAAATTCAAGCATCCAGATTCAATTCAAAAGATGGAATAGAAAGAAAACAATAGATAGAATAATTACCGTATCTTTCACCTAAAATAACCAACCCATCTCGAGTGACCCCACATCCTAAAAGATAAAAAGCATGTCATATATTAAACTAAAGCAACCAACAATGTTATAAGTACAACATTATTTAGTCAAAGAAGCAACGGTGTTAAGAGTGAAGCCATTTCTTACCATCATCCGCTACTTTAACGTAGCATGATCCAACACTTAAAGAGACAACTACCTGAACAAATACAAATTAAACTTTAATACATTCAGACTTAAGACAAGCAGAAACCAAAAAACATAATTCTTAAGGATTAAGGGCAACAGAACCAGATACAGTGGAAAGCTTATCCCAACAAGTATTAGTATAAGTGATGGAGATCTGAAAACTTACACTCATCAAAAACACAAGATGTCAGCATCAAGGTTATTGCAATATTATTTTAATTAGTTTTAGTTATTTTAATTCTTCATTTGTCACTTTTTAAGTTCGTTTCATTATAAATGTGTCAATGATGATGGTGTTTATGAGAATAGGATATTTTTTTCCAATGCATTAATTACCTTGATGGGCTGATGTACTGCTGCAAGCTTTTTCATTTCAGTCTCAATGGATTCCCTAGTTCAGTTTTTTTCAAATTCCTTGTGTCAGCACAAATTCTAATTTTGGTTTCAGAATGTTCATTTTGCAGTATTTCGTGTTTTTGTTGTAAAATGATTATCTTCACTATAACGTGAAGTTGGTTCCCCTGCTCAGTCCAAAAGTTGATAGCTGCATTCTCACAATAGCAAAACACCATCTTTTCTTCTTTAAAAGCTGCTATTGTAAAGCTTAGCATTTAATTGGCGATCATTACTTAGTTTGGGATCATTAATTGGTTTCACGTTCTTGCTGTTGTTACCTTATTAGACTATTCCTTACATGTTGTTACATGTTCGTTCCATTCCCTGGTGATCAATGTGTTTACCGTGCTGCATGTTGCCATGTTTGACTACTTATCGTGATGAGTATATCCGACAGTGGAGAGTTTACCATAAAAGAGGCCGGAGATCTACGATCATGATTACACCACTTTATTTTTTAGCTATTATTTATATTTGATTTATTATTCTATCTTTTCCAAATTTACCCTCACTTCAGGGAGTAGGTTCCCGAGGGGCACTTTTGTCTTTTGGAGTTATTATTATATTTTGGTTATTTATAGCTCCCTCATCTTCTTTGTAAGGTATGATAATTATTATGAAATTTCAGCACTTTGTTTCTTTGTGAGTTTTGAGGGTTCTTGTGAGAATTTTGGTGAAGTCCCTAGGTGAGGGAAAAGTATTACCCAACAACCGCAGGAAGCGTCCGGGCTCGTGGTCCTTTTCTTCTCCAACTTCTCCTTGCCCTCTTCCCTAGCCGCCATCCCCTTGCCCTTTCTTCTAGCCACTGGCCTCACTCTCCGCCTCCTAGCCACCAGCCTAAATCCCCCCTTTCCACCTCCTAACCACCAGCCTCAAGTTCCCCTTCCTTCCTCCTAGCCACCGGCTAAGCCACCAACCCCTCCTAATAGCTAGCCCTAAAACCCTATCCATCCTCCTAGCTGTCGGCCACATCCCCCCTCTCCTTTGCCTCCAAATTTCAAATTCCAAATCAATACTTTCCATTTATAACTCATTTTAAATTAGGAAGGATTTTTAATTCAAATTCCAATCTATTTGAATTTTAAGTTTCCAAGAGAAGTGTGCAAGAGAGTTCTAGAAAAGAAAAAGGTTAATAATAATTTTATTTGCATTATCAAATATATGTATGTAGGAGTTGTTACATGTGTTCAAACACAAAAGGTGGTTTGATCAAAATTTTTCTATTTCAATTAGATTACATCAAGGATCATCTTTAAGCCCATATCTTTTTGCTTTAGTCACAAATGTTCTTACTGGACATTTGCCATAGGATGTACCCTGGTGTATGTTTTTTTGTTGATGATATTCTTCTTGTTGATAAGACTAGAGATGGAGTTAAAGGTAAACTTGAATTATAGAAGTCAACCTTAGAGTCTAAAGGTTTTCGTTTAAGAGAATCTAAAATTGAATAAATTGATTGTAATTTTAACAGTAACAAATCTAGTGGGGGATTCTGACTTTGGGCGATCAAGTCATTAATAAGAGTACACTTTTTAGATATCTTGGACCAGTTGTTAAAGTGATGGTGAAATAGATGAAGATATTATTAATAGAATTCAAGTTGGATGGTTGAAGAGGAAGAATGCATCAGGCCTGTTGTGCGATTGAAAAATATCACTTAAACTAAAGGGAAAATTCTATAAAATGATGGTGAGACTTGCAATTCTTTATAGTGCAGAATGTTAACCATTAAAAGACAAGTCTAATATTAAGTTGTGTTGCAGAGTTGAGGATGCTCAGGTGGATGAGTGGCTTCACTCTTAGAGATAGAATGTGAAATAAGTACATGCGTGAAAAAGTTGGAGTAACTCCAGTGGCAAATAAGATTAGAGAGAGTCGCCTTAGATGGTTTGGTCACATAAAATGTCGGCCTTTAGGAGAGAAGATGTATTAGAATTGATCTATATTAAGAAATGTGGAGGTAGACCTAAAAAGAGTTAAAAAATATTAGAAATGACATTTTTTAATAGATTTAAATGACAATTTGAAACTTAACCTGGCACAATGCAAATAAAGGATTCGTGTAGCCGACCCCACGTAGTGGGATAAAGACTTGATATTGTTGATGATAAAAAAACAATTGTGGGTCTACTTGAGTCGTAAATAGAATAGTGACGATTTAAAATTTAATTTTCTAATTAATATGATTTTATAATACTTTTAAAAACTCTTGAGTTGATTAACATTAATATCCCAAGGTCTGACTGACTTAACCTCAGCTAAGGTATAGGTTTATAAATCATTTGCATTTCATTAGACTTAGATTCGAGATACTATCCCTCAAAAGTTCTGACCTTAGATCTAGGATCTAAGGTTGAGGATGAATCTAGCCGCCACATAAGCCCTCACATTCTAAGCATTTTCTACAACTTGTATTGTTGAAATATAAGCCCCAATTTTCTAATCATATTAGTCAACTCAAACAAAAATTTAATTTTAAAACAAAAATTCTAATATAGAATAAGTTGAGCACCTCTAAGTTTCTCAGAATCTAGTGCTCATAAATTTTCCTCCCATTCTCTTCTATACCTAAATTTTGATTTAAAGTTAATCACATCACCCTTCAAATTCTCAAATATAACCCTTATGGGGCATCCGTGCCTCATAATAAAATAAACCTTATTCAGTAAAAAACTCTGTTAATACACAAAATTGTGAGATTTGTTATTAAATTCATAACAAAATATTTTTATCCTTCGAGATAATATATTATTTTTTATATTGTGTTCGATCATAAAATATTTCAATCCATTGAGGATGAATGACAAAATTTTATCAACAGGTTTTTTGGCAACTCCACTTAAGAAGATGTCACTTTTCAACTAAACTAGTGATTTTATTTAATCATCTTAAAAATTGGCTAAAAAATATTTGCAAAATTAATCTTTGTGTTGTAGGCCTCTCCCATTTCACTTAGTACTCGAGACAGCAAAACCATATAATCCTAGTTGTTTCATCATCATTCCCCCATCAAACACTCTAAGCTAATGGTGATGAATTTTCTTACTCCTAAATCCAAAATTCTAAGCACTATAAGCTAAGCATTTTGCTTCTATCGACCAACATTAACCAAAAGTTTTCTCTGATGGTTAGGAGGGGAAATTAATCATTAGGATTTATGCTTATAGGAAACCTAAAACCCGATTATAAAGTCCTTGCAAAACAAAAGCAAAATCTCAAGGTTGTCTTATCTACACAATCCAATCTACCTTCCAAAAAGTTAACCAATATAAACTCTTTTAGAAGAGCCGAGCTGGAATTTTCGGAGCCCACATGGTTAACTATGGACACTTGCATCAAGAAGTTAACAAAATAATTCATTTAACTCTTTATAAGTAGCTTAATGAGCTAAGAGAAACAAACCTGGGTGCCAAGCAAAGCATACTGATGCAACAAGAAATACAACCAAAAAATTAAGATTATATGAAAAATCCAAATAAATCAGCAAATTCTGACATATTCAAAGCATGTTTTTTGCTATTGCTGACAAAGCTGAGTTTCCACAATCACTAATGAAACTTTTGCAAGCTTATAAAAAATCATCAAAAAGGTGCTTCTTTGGATTTTCTTGCCCGCAGAAAAGAACAAAAAAGAAATGGTTAAATATCTCTGTCATATATCAAACATGACCTGGCAACATTTGGATGTTGTTTAAATAATCATCATTAAAAAATTGCAGAAGCCAGCGGAAAAATGGCGAGTTTGAGCAAGAAGAGTGATAACAATGATTGAGAAGGATCAACATGGTAGAGTCAACCAATCCTAGTTGGCAATGATAAAAGGAGAAATCATAAATTAAAATAAACAATAAGAGGAAAATACAATGACGGCATAAATGCAAGAAAAGCAACATATCATTACCTTGGAAGAACCCGCATCCACACTATTATGTACAAGTTCCTCAACAACTCTGGTCAAGTCAAACAAAAATGTGCTCGATCGCAATGAATTGTAGACATTGCGAGACAAGTGTTTTATCTCCTTATTTGACATGTACTGGGAAAAACACAACAAAAATTGATCAACAAAAATGATCAACATAGATCTGTATAAACAGTAAAAAAAAAGTTTGTTTTGATTTTTTTTTTATAATAATCAAATAAGTCTCAAACATTAAATCATCATACAATAAATATGCCCAATTATGTCTTATTCTCAAGATCTACAGTTCACAGATGACATTCGAGGTAGTTGAATGGTTGGTACTTTCTTTTGCATGAGACATAGTAATGTTCATGTCCCTAAATTTCCATTTTCACAACTAGGTCCCTTGAAATGACCATGGCTACTAAGCATTAATGGACATTCAAATGAGTGAAATCCCTTCAACATTAGTCAACAAAAAAGTAACACCACACGTTATCCCATATCTTCAGCCATCATTACTTGCTGCCTCTCCCATATCCTCCAGCATTCAGTCGCTTATCAATAATCCATCCCGCCATGCAACCAACCACTAGCAAACTACCATTGAAGTAGAGGTAGCAACAGTGGGTAATAGAACATTGTCAGGCAAACTGGTGGTTGGAAATACTAAGAGACAGCAGGGTGCAGCAGTAAGCAGTGGGTGCGGAAATGCAAGGGTGCAAGGAAGTTCATCATTGACGCCAATGGAAGCAATAGTAGTAACATTGATGGGAAACCTATGGTGACGTGCTTGATGATTTTATCATGCTAGAAGGACCCGTGGGTGAGGATACTTATACCTTTTAGTTATCAATTAACTTATTGAAGTTGAAATAACCCAAAGAAACCTCGGATAAAATTTGAGGAGTTCCTCGGTGAAAAAAAATAATAATGAACATGAGTGCAACTAGATCAAACCTATAAACATTGATTTATTTAAGCTTACAATTATCATTATAATCTTAAGGGAGAAATATTTCTTATAATACTAATTTGACAGTACAAAAAACAACTAAAACTAAATTCTCGATATTAATTAGCCATGCATTAATGCCGTGCTAATTTCTCTTGACGATACCATATAAATAAGATGACCATTAAAAAAAACATTGCTCACAGAAGATCAATATTACCAGCCATGAAGCCCAATGTTTTGAATTACCCCATAAAAGAGTCAAACAAAGAAAAAAACATTACTTGCAGCAATTAAGATGCGGGTAGATATAAGCTCAGTTGTTACTACTAATAGACATCATAGTTAAATCACTAACACAATATAAAGCATTTGGATACCCATCAGATAAGAAGGAATATATTTAAATTTTGAGTTAATTTCAAAATAATTCATAGACTATTCATATGTGGTCATTTTAGTGAATTAGTCCCACGGTATAAAGTTGCTCCAATTTAGTCCATTAAATATACAAAATTGATCCAAAATGGTACCTTTAGTACTAAATTGGGACCAATTTTGTAAAATTTATAGACTAAATTGAGATCAATTTTATATCACAATTACAACATGAGGGACTATTTTTTATCAATTTTGTATGGTTAAAGGACTAAATTGGGGCAATGTGATACTCTGGGACTAAATTGGACATACAATAATAGTATAGGGACTATTTTAAGATTTTACTAACTTTCTATCCTTTGAAGAGAGATGATTACAGGTTGGGTTCATTTTTCAGAATATGGATAAATTTTCACCAAATCAGTGGCTAACCATTGGTAAAACCCTTTGACCATACACCCTTATAGCCTAAATCAAAAGTTATGAAATTAAGAGGATTCAAACCGTAAGCACTTGAATAGAAAATGAAGTCAGATTAAACTTCTATTTGCTGATTAACTTCTTCCTTTCTCAATCTCCAATAAAACATTAAATTCATGCTAAAGAGACAGCATCTTTGATTACTTATATCCCTTCCATTTTCAAATGTGAATTTGATTGAGCGTCAAACCCTTTAAAACCAAACTTAACCAAAATCCTTCAATTTTCTTTTCAAACACAATTAAATTGGATCAATTAGGACTCGCGTTTGCATTTACATGGGAGTTGCTTTTTGATATACTAATTTTGAATTGTAAAAAAATGACCATTAGTCTATTCATCGTAAGAATGTTATTTTTTAGGCATTGTCACACCACCAATATTATTGGTTTCACCACCTTTAAGTGCAACATCGAATACCACTTTTCACATTGGAAGGTAGCTTCTTAGTAACACTTGGGCAGCACAAGATAGCTAACATTGTTGTAACACATGCAAACAATCACAAAAGACTATCATATGCGAGTCAAGATAATCCAAATGATTAAAGCATTGCATAATCATAAATTCAGTGCCAGCTGTCACAATATTACCCTGAACACCCATAAATTTCAATAGAAATAATATAAAAGTATATTGCCAACCATAAGACAATTTTTCATGAAGTTATGGAATGAAGTTGAGCACAAATCTATCTAATGGAAAATTTATACAAGCAAATGTACTTAATTATCACGCTCTGTTCAGTTCTATCAAGCTCAACAATAATTAACTAGCAGTTAAATGTGTCATACAGAGTGGTTTTTGGTAACCAACCTAGTTATTGAGTCATTTTAGCAGGTTTGGTCACCCATTTAAATAATAATTTGGATTTATTTTGAACCAAACATGTGTCTCCTATCATAGAATGTTAAATTCAATGTGATCAACAAATCCATATCAACAACAACAAAACTAGGCAGTTCCCCAATAGATATTAACCAACTCGAATCAATCATTACATTAACTATAACTTGAAAAAAGAGAAAGAGGTGGGACACGGATACTTCAAATCAATCGCCACTTTATCAACTACAGCTCGACAAGAGAGCAAGAGTTTAGCTGTGAGATTCTTTGTACTAGAGGAAAACAATAAGAAAGACATCCATTATCTATGCATGATTCCCTCATATAGAGTTGGCATTCTTTTCAAATGTTGGAGTGGGAAACTAGGCTATAATTCACTTGAAACTTCCAACAATCAATTATGACATAAACCTCAGTAACTATGTTATAGTTAATCTGGGAGATTATTGAAATTATGGAAATTTGTAAAAACCTCCTTATGGTTTACCCCTTATGAAAAAGGATGGTGTTATTTCATATTTATATGCAAGTCATTATAATGTATACTTCTTTATAGTAATGTCAATTCATGCTAAATATCCTAATTATAGTTTAGTAATAGACATAATCATAACTCCCACTACCCTTTGCATCAATCTAACACAAGAAGTTAGTTAGAGATGTGTAGCACCCAACCTAGAAATCTCAGCCAGCATTGGAAACTGAGTGCAACCCACTATATATGTTTGGATTGGACTATTAGTCAATTAAAACATGGTTTTTGGCTTAAATGCAAAATCCATGAAAAAAGACAAAAAGAGCTTACTATAATCTTCTTGCGTAATATCCTAGCAGGAATAAGCATAGGCATATGACCCTGACCTTGATGGATCCTATAGGATCATGTCATCCCATGCAAGGTCCTTCCTCGAGGCCGCATGTACAGGTCCCTTACAAGTTTCCCAAAGCAAACTCTGGTGCAATAAAAGGCGGTATAGTGGAAAGGGAGTGCGTCTAATATGTAAGAGAGATGAGAAGGATAAAGATGCTTAAGAATATAATTAAAGAATGACAAAATAGTTAATTTAATTTTCCTTGCTAACTGAAAAATGAAAATTATAAAGATTTGATAATAAGCTTTGTTACGTCTTATAATATTCGCGGCGGTAGAAAAATATAAATTTTAGCTTCTTAGCTTTGTACGAAGATCCAACACACATGCAAAAAAAAAGAGGGTGGTATTTTGTTCATAAGAGACCTCAGAGCTTTTACGTGGAAACCCCTGAAAATGAGGGAAATCACAAGGCATTGCCCAGTTTAAATGAATCCACTAGTATTTGTAGTTGATTAAAAATGAGGTCCTTCTTTGGAGGGAAGGCATTAGCTCGATGTAGTAAATATATATCATATAGAATGCATTACATGGTGGGAACTAGAAGAATCAGTGCTGACATGTTCGTTTGGTCGGTAGAACCATAGTCGGCGAATGATATAGCCTAGAAGGATTATAGTCGGTGAGCGATAAAGGTCAGAAAGATCGTAGTTGGGCGACATTGGTTGGAAGGACCGTAGTCATCAGGAGAAGGAGGTTGAAAGACCTTCGTCAGGCGACCGTGGTCGAAAAGGACCGTAGTTGGCAGGCGACAGAGGTTGGATGCTCCAAAATTTAATTTAGAAGTTTATAATGCGAATTTGCCTCAAGATTCGTGCTCAATCAAGAAAATTTTTTGATAATATATCAAACTTAAACAGCATTGCTCCTTTCCGACAATGGGGCAAACAATAGAGAGTAGAATGCATAGTATCATAAATATATTTCATGGACGGAATAATATCCCCCTCTTGCATCATCATGCTAGCACAAGAGTAGGGGCCAATTTAAACAAAAAACAGCAGCCGTATGATACTCATTACAACAAAAACCCCCTTTTCTTATAAATAATAACTTTGTGGATTCCAAGGAAATCGAGCGTACAAACACTATGGAAGATAAATGTGGCTACAGCATTCGATAACAAACAATTCAAAAAAAAAAAAAAACCTCATTTCAACTAGGGGTGTCAATTTTTGACACGACCCGAAACACGACCCGAACCTGGCCCGGAAAAATCCGGGTTCGGGTCAACCCGAACCCGAAACGGGTCGGGATCGGGTTGACCCAGCAACCCGAAATTGACCCAAAAGTGACACGAAAACTCATATTTGACCTGAAAACCCGAGATTAACCTGTTTTTTACCCGATTTTGACCCAAAAATCGAATATTGGCCCGAAAATTAGCAATTTTAGGTCAACTTCGGGTCATTCGTGTCGGGTCGGGTTCTGGTCTGGAAACCTGACCCGTTTTTAAAAACGGGTCGGGATCGGGTTGACCCGAACAGTGCCGGATCAATTCCGGGTTCGACCCGAACCCGACCCGCTGACCCGAATTGACACCCCTAAATTTTCAACGTAACCAAGAACAAGAAACTTAAAACGAAGGAATACAGAAGAAACAAAAGGAAAATGAGATTACCAAGGAAAGTGTACTGACGGTATTTACTTGATGCGCCCCCTCACGGAGGACCTTCCGCCTAACACAGAAGTGAAGTAACCGAGCACGTATCAATGTAAGGAAACTGGGGCTATAAATTGAATGGGAGCAGTGAGTAGGTCCGCGATGGAAGGGTATGAAGGTACCGGAGGTAGCGTCCTTGAGTTGCTGGCAGTCGCGCAACCGAGCGGTGCAGAATGGAGAGCGGGGACCGGGAAGGCTTTCTCGTCTCTTAGTTAGCCGTGAGGTGGCGCCAAGGGTTTCGTAGCCTTATTGCAATAGTCCGCGAATATAACGAAGGGAATGAAAATGAGAGGGGTCATATTTAATTTGACTCGCACTTGCTTTTCTATGTACAAATAAATTAATTATGGAAATTTTGATTTTATGACTCGTAAGACTGTAATTTAATGCTCATAATAATAATAATTTTTTTTTTGGAAAATTAATAATAATAACTTAAGAAATATATTTATTTCATTTTAAGTTATTGATGTGACCGTCCTTTAAAAAAAAATAATATTCTCACTATAATCTATCCCAAAATACACCTTCTGTAGGAGTTCTCCCATTAAAAAATAGATTTTAATGCCATAATTGTATGGGGCCATCCTCTTCATTTTTTGAGAGTTGAAGATAGTCATTGAAGTTCTATTTATCTATATTTTAATTTATTTATTTATTTATACTTTTATGTTTTTATGTTGCTAAGATAATTGCAAGTTGAGTGATAAAATATCTGATTTGACATAAAAATGCAAAATATATAGTTATAATTTCAAAAGTAATAAGATAGAATGATAAACAACCATAGGTCCATAACACAACAGAGTATAATTCAAAATATAGCATATTAAAGTTAAAAATCTCTTTAAATTTGTATGCAATCACACGTAACTTTCATGAAATATGATAGTTGTGCACCTTAGAAATCTACCACTATCATTAAAATGAACTTTAGAGTTGCACTTAAACTTAATTTCATGTATGGTAATACTCATCATAAACTAGCACAACTTATGCATTGGAAAGTGAAAAATACAAGCCCTTGAAGATGGACATAATTCAAATCATTCTCATTAACGTAAGGTGTGACATAGATGAAAAATTCAGTTAGATGTCTTTCACACTAACACTCATTTTGAATTACATTCATCAGGATCGAGTGAGTAGAAAATTAACCTGTTTAGGCTATCCTAACACAATTATACTTCAACCATAAAATTATACTTCATTATTAAATGTTCGAAAACATGCACAATATATAGGAAAACAAAATACAAAACTTTACTAAAAACTTCGAATAAAACTTTTACATGCCCAAAAGTTTTAATTTACAACCTACTGATCAATCTTCTATTTACCTCGAAATTGTACGCCCAAAATGGCTATGTACATTGGGCAGTCGATCACTTCTTAAAATCACGCTAGTTCATTTTCTTTTCCTACAATACATCAGCTACTGAGCTAAATGCTCAATGAAATATACAATCCTACTACAATATTAAATATATACGAATAAGAAGCATTCAATATGGATGCTAGCATTTCGAACTAATGCAAGAGGCATAAGCAGCACACTTATATAATTCGGAATAAATGAAATGTTTGTATCTTACTTTAGTAAATGACCAATGCATAACACTGTAAATTTTACTATATGATAGCATTCATGTTTTATCTCACGTCTTTTATGTTATTTATGTATACTATTTTTGAGAGGCATTCAACAAAATTTAGGAACAAAATTGCATTTTAATGTGGCTTTAATCTCAAACTAAATATTATTTTGATGCTAAGCATCAAGTTATCGATTTTCTAGTTTGAGATTTTGTATATGTGAAGATTAAGTTCATGAAAGGCATCATCAGATTTGGCAAAGAAGAAAAATTGAATTCAATGTACGTCGAACCTTTTAAAAGTTTTGAAAGGAATTGAAATCCTACATAAATATTACAATTATTATAGCACATGCCTGCTATTCATAATGTGTTTCACATGTCACTCCTAAGAAAATTGGATCCTAATATGAAAATCATATATCTACTAAAGAAATTTAGGAACGTCTGAATTTAAATTATATAGAAGAACCATACTAAATTTTGTCTTATGATGTCATAAAGTTAAGAAATAAGTATATTCCAATTGTTAAGGTTCAATGGAAGAACATATGGAATAAGAAGCTATTAGGGAGAAGGAATTTGAGATGAAGTTGTTGTATATCAGTTTATTCTTATGATTTGAATTTTGAAATAATAATGACTATATTTTTCTAAGGATGAGAGAGTTATGACACCTCCAGCATAAGAGTGTTGTTCAAACTGGTCTAACTTGACTAGAAGTCATGTAATCTATTAATTTTTTATATTTAAACTTTCGTACATGTATTTGAAAATGATTGGTGAGCATAAAAAAGATATGTATGTGTTCTGGAGTGAGTTACACATAATTGAATGCATGGTTATAAAATATTGAAATTTTTCCCCGGAGTGCCCCAACACTAGACAATGGCACCCCACTTGGTGATCTCTGTAAATTGGAAAATGAACAAGCACCCCATGTTGTAATCTAAGATCTCAAACTTGTTATTTTGATAATAACAAATATTATTGATTATATTTTTATTTATCCTACTATTTGTAATACATATTTGCTTTTGTGTCTACTAAAATTTCATATACACCATATACCGTGCATTAGAAGATTCAGGGCTCAAGTCTGGATAAATAGGATAATATTTTTGCAAGAGTTATTATTTTTCTTTTTTATTTTTCTTTTTTTTTTATTTATTGAGTTTTAGTCATGTAAAAGATGTAAGCAAACTTGACGACCATGCACACACACATAAGGGGAGTGAGAAAATTAAAGTTCAAATTTTAAAAACAAATCGTAGTTATGATCAGGTATTCAAAAAATAATAATTAAAATGGGAAAGTAAGTAATTAGTGGTTTTGAACTAATCGTACAATATGAACTAGGTCATATTATACAATCGGCTCATCTTAGAAACCTTGGTCGCCTATCAGATTTAATTACCTAAATTAATCATCGTGATTAGTCAATCAAATCAAATTTAATTAATATGACAGATTATACTATACGATATAAATCATACTGTACAATAGACATAGACGATATTTGTTCACCCAAGCATCATCCTGGATGAAATCTTGATTTTTGAACTAATCGTATAGTAAGATGTTGATCGTACTGGATGACTGGTAGGGACAATTTCCAATCATCCCATCGTTCATCTTATACGATCTTGAGAAAAACAAATTAATCATAACATACAATCTCATGAATGTATTATACGATAAATATACCAACTTTGAACAAATTGTGTTGAGACCGTTCAAAATGTACTAGCTGAAACTAGTTTTAAACTAATTATATTGTATGATCCCATATCGTATTGTCTGAATTAAAACTAGCAAATCAATATTTTAGGATTTTTTGAATGCCTCATATAAAAAAAAACTCTTATTGACTTTGAAAAATTCTTTGGCTCTTGAGAAAATTCTAACAGTGCTTGAGAGGTATTAGAGCTTGAAGATGGAGAAGGAGAAGTTGTGTGAGGCAATTCACGCGGTTACTCCAAGAAAGCTTTTGCCTTGGTTCCTCCAAGTGTATATTGGTCTTTTTGGGTAGCTCTGGGGATAAAGTCTTCAAGTTCAAAGACCTATGTTATCTGTCTTTGACAAGGAAGTGCAAAATGATTGTAAAGTTTTATGCCTTCACCTGGAAGGAGAATTGAGATTGCAAAGTTATCTGCCTTCACTAAGGGATAAAACATATTCAGATACTCTGCCTTCATCATGAGGGTGAAAAATGATTCAAGATACTCTATCGCAATTTATTTGTGAAGAGGTTGTGTAAGGGCTTCTGTAATATCAAAATCTGCTCCAGGATCGTCCAGGACGATCTGGGATTGTCCTGGGACGATCAGTGGAAAATCTGCTCCAGAATTTGCCCAGATTTGCTCCAGGTGATTTTCTGTAAGTATCGTCCAGGCCGATCAAGGCTTCGGCCAGGCCGATTGGCACTGTTCAAATTATTGACTAAATCTTTATAAATTTTATGGTATGCTCGTACTATTTTTCTTGTATTTTATTTCCATATTTACTTTCATGCAAATGTACTAAACCTTTAGTATATATAGCTAGGCAAGAGAGTCACTTGGTTCAATATTACTAAATGTACCTATGGATCCTAGGGTATCTTAGGTTGTTTAAAGTTAGTTTGGCCATGGGCCAAATCAAATATTACAAACCAAACTCGAGAACAATGATAATCAATTAATCAACAACTAATTAAACAAATGAAAAAAGGATTAAGTGCATACGCCACTAATTATGTCTACTAAGACTTATCAATTTTAAGCATGAAATAAGTTTACCTTAGGTTGGCTAAGGGAATACATTTTAAAAGGATGTTAAATTGACTTCAAGATTATTTTAAATTTAATATATAGGGTCCTTGCTATAGTCTTCTCTACATCCAATAAGATCTCATAGTTATTCCAATGTTAATTAATTCCTATTCAAGCTATACTAAAAGGTTGATGTAAGGTTTTCTTGCTAGGCTAAGCTAGGAAAGATTCTAAAGAATAATTTTAATGATTGAAGTTGAATTTGACATGAATGAGAAGGTTTGCTTAAAATATCATGAAAGGTGAATTAGAGGTCCAAGCAAGAGAAATAGACCATTCAAGTCCAAAAAATGAAAATGAGAATGATCATCTCAATTTTATTTTAAAAATACCACTTAAATTAGTAATAAGCACACCTAGTCTTATGTAGTTAATAAGCACACCTTTATATTTTATAGTCTAAGGTTAAGGTGTACCTAAGTTTTGCTATGTTGTGATGTGTTGTAATACTTGGTCAATTATCATTGTGCTTTCTTTTAATCATGCACATTATGATAGAAATATAATTTTCTGAATGTGTTGAAAAGCTAAGAAAAATGCTAATGCTTGGTCCTATGTTTATAAAATTCAAAAGAAATGTATATGTAGTTTGTGCGCCCATACGTAATTTTGGTTACCTATACATTTTCTTGCTTGGAATGCCTTGGAAACAAGTGTAATATACATGCACCAATTTCACTTCATTCAAATAAACAAGCAACGAGAAGGCAATGACCATGAACAAATAAGTTGTATCATAGACTTGTCTTATATAACATCTAAATGTAAGAAAATTAAAATCAATCATATGATAATGCTTTTTCAAATAGAATAAAATTGCCGGTCACTTTTTATAATTAACATTTTTAAAAATAAATTTAAATATTATATCTATATCTTGTTAGTGTAATCTTGAAATTCTTAATGGTTGTGCATTGGAGGCCGAGCAATTTGGCTTGACTAATGCAATTATGCTATATACACACACACACACACACACACGTATATATATATATAACCCTAACTTATCTTTATCCTCAAATTTCTAAATTGCATTATATTTATGCAATTATGCTATATATATATATATATACTGCATGATCATAAACTAATAAAACACTCTCATATAGTTTTTAAAGCTTCAAATCACACACACACACGTATATATATATATAACCCTAACTTATCTTTATCCTCAAATTTCTAAATTGCATTATATTTTAAAATCTATTTATTTATATCATATGTAAGGTCAATATTTTAAGACAACCTCAACTCCTATCTTAATGCATACATAAATATCTATTTGCAGTGTTATTGCTTATGGATGATATTCTATTTGATATTATTTATAATATGCTATGTTATAGCTATATTGATTGCACTCAATTACATTAACCTTATTATTTGCTTTGTTAAAATTGTTGGAACATGTTATATTGTAGTTATGGTGGATAAGCTTTGCTTGAAGCCCATTCAAACGAAGTTTGAGCCGTGTTGATATTAATTTTATTTTAAGATTAAGATTTTCCTCTATCTATAAATTATTGTTCCATCAATATCTTAAGTGATTTGGATCAATGCAATGAAACTTTATTCTTCATTATTTATTTATTTTTGTTAATTTTAAGCGGTCTTGATTGCACCCTAAACACATGGATTGCTCCCAAGGAGAAAAAGTTTATTTTTTAGGGGATTTACATGCATACCATTTTATTTCATGCTATTTATAGATCTAACATTTAAAATTTTAATATTATATACCTGTCATACATAGAACAAATATAGGTGCATAAAATAAAATATTAAAATTTATAAGGTGATATGGGTGGTAATAATGAAATATAAGAGTGATATATTTGATATTAAAATTTTATATGAGTGATATGAATGTAATATTAAATTTTTTGATGTTAGATATATAAATAACATGAAATAAAATGATATATATGTAAACCCTTCTTTTTAATACTTTTGGATGAATTAATACAAATTCAACATATAATGCATAAAGAAGATTCGAACTCAAAATTTATTGGATGTTGCCAAAGCTCTCGACAAAAAAAGGGAGATTTACACACATACCACTTAATACTATTATATTTACATATGTAACACCTAAAACTTTAATATTACATACATACTACCCATAGTTCATTTTCATATCAAATAGGAGTAGTAAAAATGAAATATATAAGTGGTAGGAAAGAAATATAAGTGGTATATTTGATATTAAAATAATATAGGGTGGTATGCATGTAATATTAAAGTTTTGGTGTTAGACTGTAAATAAGATGTTATAAAGTGGTTAATATGTAAATTTCTTTAAAAAAAAAGAAGCCAAGTTTAGGTGCATAAGGGGTGAAAAAGTGGCATTGAAAAATTTTACTGCAATTATTTAAGGAATAGTCAGAACTCTGAACAATTATTACGTCCTCTGACCGGACGTAGAGCTATGTTCGGCCGCCAATAACATGTTGCCACGTGCTCTTACTCTTTACCGCGCGGCCCGACGACTTGACCCGGAGCGGAACCCGGGAATGCTATGTTCGCGACTTTCTCGGTATTGCTCGGTATTTGCTAGGTATTGCTCTGCAATAATGAGAAATACCGCTATGTGAAGATCAATATCATGCAAATACCGAGTTGTACCGAGTTTTTTTACAACTCGGTATGTAAAACCCCTCAAAAGCTATTTTTTTAGTGCTGTTAGTCCCGGACGAATTGAAGAAAATTGTGAAAAATCTGTCAATTTCGTCTGTACGAACCTGGAAGGGTCGGGACGAACCAAACAGAGAGTTTCGTCCAGGGACGAAGAAATTGGAATTAATTTTCGTCTGGACGATTCAAGTCAAGAGAAGATCATCCCGGGACGAATCGGGACATCGTCCGGGACGATCCTGCTTAATAAATATCTAAATGGTGTCGTTTTTGAAGAGAGAGAAAGTCCATGAGTGAGAAAACCGTGGAAAGAGGAAGAAAAGTGGATTTTTGAGCGACTTCGACTCGTTTTCGTCCGTCGCCGTAGTTGGAAAAGTTGATCAACTCGAGGTAAGACACATTCCGCCTTTCTAAATTTTCAGAAACGAGAATTTTGATGACTTTTCTGTTCCGGGTTTTGTTTCCGTTAGCGAATTTCTGGTATTATTTTCTTCTGGCAAAGGTTTTACCGCGTAACTTTTGGTATGTTTTTGAGATGATAATTGTGCACATTTTTAGTATGTTCTGGAAGATTTTTACCGGGTATTTTGAATTCTGTTGAGTTTTATTCGAATAATAATTTTATCTGGATGTCTGGTATTATTACTTCAGTACAGTAAAAGTCTTATAATGTTGTTGTGGATATTCTATGATAATTTGGTAAATTTTTGAATCTGTGAATTTTGTGTAAATTCCGTATACTGCCGTTATGCCGCTGATTTTTCGTACGAATTCTGATTTTTCTGAATTGATACATTGAATGAATTGAAGTGTTTGTATGCTATCAGAAGGGAGTTATAAGGGGCCAGGATTATTTGAGATTCTGTAAGTATCAGGAAAATCTGAAATGAGCTATGAAATCTGAAAATAAGTTATGTTCTGGAAATTCTGAATATCTGTTCTGTTCTGGTGTTATAAGAACAAAAGGAGACATAAGGGGTCAGAATCCGTCGAGATTCTATAAGTGTCAGGGAATTGAGGCATAAGGGGCCAGAATCCGTAGAGATTCTGTAAGGGTCTGGGAATCTGAAATCTGATATGTGATATGTTATATGAAATCTGATGTTTGATATCTGATAATATTTGTGTGACTTATCTGATATGTTTTATGAATTATCTGATATGAATGTGATTTTATTTGATTTCTGTACGATTCTGGTTATTCCGTACAATTCTGTCTGCTCTGTGACTTGAAAGCTTTATGATATCTGTTCTGAACTCCGATTCGACATGACTTCAGTTTTCTGTATCAGTTGTTTAATTTCTGCCGATGAGGTATCTGTTCTATGATTTCCGTACGGCTTTTTCTGATGTGAATTTCTGATGATTTAAATTGGTGAGTGATGTCTTGCTGAGCTATTAGCTCATCCTTATTTTTTGCGTGGTTTTCATGTTCTGGGAAAGGGAAGGAGGTCTTGGACCAGAAGTTCTGTGTCTGATCTGATATTAGGTATTTTGTACTTTTGATTTTTGGTACAATCATGATTTTTCTGTTCTGTTCTGTTATTTCTGTCTGAAGCCTTGAATTGTATTGTATATGATTGTTTTGATGAAAGAAAAAAATAGATGAACTGTTATGTATTTGAATGATTATAGTAGCTATGTATTTTTCTGTCTATTTAATATTTGGAAGAAAGTTCTGAAGTAAATTCCAAAGTTAGATTTTGGATTTTCAACAGTTGTGTTGCGGCCCGATGCAAGCGGGATTCGTCCCGATCGGGTTGGGTCGTGACACGGTACAACTCGGTACAACTCAATATTTGCTCAGGATTTGCTCGGTATTGTTAGGGATTTGCTCGGTATTGCTAGGGATTTGCTCGGTTTTGCTAGAAAAAACTCGGTACAACTCGGTATTTGCTCGATATTGCTAGGTATTTGCTCGATATTGATTATTACGAGCAAAATTGTTCAAAACCTAGCAATACCAATCAATCTTTGGTCCGGGTTGTCCGGGCACGCCATAAATAATGAAAACGCTTGGTGATTGTAGTGACGGCGGAACTTAGAGTTGAGTACGTTCACGAGAACAAATAAAAGTTTCAGAACTCCACACCTACAGAGGAAGACGGAGGTTTTTTGCAGTTACGGACGGCGTGACGGATCGATGAGGACCGATCCCTAGCAGATGATGGAGCTCAACGTCACGGTACCGCCGGCGGGGAGCCAGCCGCCGGGGCAGGAGCAGCAAGCAGCGGGCGCGGGAATCCTGCTTCAGATTTCGATGCTCGTGCTGTCGTTTGTTCTTGGCCATCTCCTCCGCCGTCACAAGTTCTATTACCTGCCCGAGGCCAGCGCCTCCCTCCTTATTGGTAACTGCGCTGATATCGAGTCCTGTTCCATGAATTGATTGTTACCTGCTGCTAATTCGTTGATAACGTTTATGGTGATTACATAGGTGGTGATTTGGGAAATTTGTGAGAGGAATGGTTTCATTCTGTATGCTATTTGGGTTAATGGTTTGGTAATAAGATTATAGTTGGAGGAACCATTGCATGTTGATTTTCATCTGTTTCATTTTGACAGTGCTTCTCAAGCCCATGAGAATTAAAACTGAGGCTGCCCACGCTGAGGCGGCTCTAACTACATGCTTCATGTTTCTGGCCCTCAATCATTGTGGCTAGTGAACATGAACATGTTTAAAAGAGGAGTCAACCAGTGAGAGCACTTGCTAAACCAAGGCACCTTGATCGACCAACATGTTTAACTAGCTTGTCACTTTTTTATTTTGTTCACAATTTGGATCAAAATGTGAACCAAGAAGTTAGGTCTTGTGGCTTACATTATGTTGAGGTTAGGGCTACAAACAAGCTGAGATAAGCCTAACAAGCGTTTGTTCATGTTTGAGCTTGTTTATTAGCAGTTTTTGGGGCTCTGTTCGAGCTTGATTTGAGCTTTTCTGTTTGTGTTCAAGTTTAGTTCGTTTAAAATGGATGATGGTGAAGTTTAGTTTGTGTTCGACTTATGTTCGATTTGTATTGTGTTTATTGAGTTTTAAAGAGCAGTTTGTATGATATAATAAATGAGCCATATTAAGTCTTTTCACAAACAATTATATTGAATCTTATTGAGACTGTTAATGAATATTCTTACTGAGCATTATTGAGCCCATAAACGAGCTAGTCGATTGAGCATTTTCAAGCTTAAAAAGGCGGAGCTTAATAGGCTTTTTATAAATAATGTTAATTAATAGATATTTATAATTTAATCAAATTAATAGTTGTGCCATGTTTAATAAGTTATAAAATTCATTAATTAATTATTAATTAGATATTATTTTATAATAAATAGAAATAATTTAAATTAATTTGTTAATTATTTTTATAACAAGACTAAATTGAGTTTCTTAATGACAATGTTCATAAGCCTTGTATCTAACATTAATAGAGTATCTTAATAAGCTTGTTCACAAGCTCTGTATCAAATACTAATCGGGCTTCTTATTGAGCATGTTTACTATCTTTAAATGATACTGTTCATGACATCAACAAGCCAAACAAATAAATGTTCAAACTTGTTAATTTAACAATTGAATAATTTAAAAATTGTTCATGCTTGTTTATTTAGTTAAACAAACGATCATGAACAAGTTGCAATCAAGCCGAGCCATGAGTACCTTGTTCGAATGCTCGGTTTGTTTACAACCCTACTTGAGGTGGACTTTAATTTTGGTGCTAGGTTTGAATGGGTGACTATGAGTTTAGTCCAAACAAAATTAAACCCCAAGGGTCTTAGAAGCATTCCTCTTGTATGTTTTTGTTGTGCATTCAATTTTTTTGTGTTCCTTTAATTATTTGGATTCCATGGTATTGAAATATTTTGCTTGCCAGTGTCTGCCACCTTACTATCCATCAAAATAATCTATTCAAACCATGGGTGGAGGGTAAGGCCAAGATGGATTGGGTTCGTTGAGTTGCATTAATCTCTTTAATTAGGGTTGTATTTGATCAACTAGGATCAAAGTTCGAGTATTTGTTGTTTTTATTCTACAATGGAGTCACGACACATTTTATATCACATATGTTATGTTCTGATTGTACATTGCATTCATAAATATCATATCATTTGATCAAGTTTGATATTATCTATCTTTAGTTTTGGGATGCATAGTATAATTATGGTATGTTTGTTGTAAGGTATGATAGAAATCATGTTTCAAAAAGAAATCTTTGTTTTGGTACAATAAGTTGCATTAGATTTTAACATACCTTATGAATAGTTTGATATAATAACATTACTATAGGAAGTACATAACTATGTAGTTGTTTATCGGTTCCAGGCATTGCTTCACATTTCAAGAATTAGTTATATTTTGATTTAGTTTTGCTACCTTTAAGTTCATAACAAAAAGATAACATTTGTATGTAACTAAGTGATTTATACTTGATTAACAAAGATTGCTTTCTTCTAGGATGTGAATAGCTCACTTATTTCAAGTATGAAACTTGAAAAAGAGCTGATGGAATAACACCACCTTCACTAGTTCTATTTATATGTTTGTTTCTAGTTACCACCTCATTTTTGCTCGTCTTCTACTACTGCAACAACAATAAGATGCTTTTATCCCACTACGAGGAGTCAACTACATGAATCAATTCTCCATTATATCCTACTAAGAGTCAAATTCTAATTTAAATCTAATAATAAAGTTCATTTTTAATACTTTTTAACCAATTCTTTTTAGGTCTACCTCTACCTTTCTTAATATAGGCAGGATCTAATATGTCTACTCTCCAAACATCAGAAGGGGACATTTTATGTGATGAAACCATCTAAGGCGACTCTCGAATTTTATTTTGCCACTGGACATATCACATTCTATCTCTAAGTGTAATTCTACTCATCCACATGAGGGTACTCATCTATGCAACACTTTACTTAATTTCATGCTTCTCTTGTAATGACCAATATTATGCGTCATAAACCATTGCAGGTCTCACCATCACCTTATAAAATTTTCTCCCAAATTTGAGGGGTACTTTTCTATCACATAACAGGTCCGATGCATTTCTCCATTTCAACCATCTAACTTAAATTCTACTTACAATATCCTCAGATGTTTCACCATTGCTTTGAAGAATAAACCTGACATATCTAAAACATGCACTCTTTTTAATGACTTGATCACCTGATGTCACAATCCGACGACTAAATTTATTACCACTAAAATTACACTATATGTATTCAATTTTAGATATACTCAAACAAAAAACCTTTAGACTTTAAGGTTGACCTCTATAATTCAAAATTTTCATCAAGTCCCTCCGTAGGCTTATCAACAAGAGTAAATATTATTAGCACAAACATACGCCAAGGTACATCCTATCAAGATCCGGCCCGAATGCTCGACTTAATGGGGCGGGAATGAAAGTCGGATGGTATGATCAAATCATTTTAATTTATAAGTAATACAACATATAAAACATCAAAATTTCTCCTTTTATCTAAAGAGCCACTAACAAATTTTCTCAAATATTTAATATTTGAAAAGATCATAAATTATCTGTTTTCAGTGTTGCGTTGTCTTGTATAAATAAATTCTTCTATTTTTGCCATTTCTAAATCTCTTAAGACTTACCTGAAACATTTATTTAGTGGAATGAGTTTACAAAGTAAACTCAGTATGTAATTATTGACAATTATTAAACATAAAGTAGATATATTGATATAATACATACAACTTTTTCTCTTAATATCAATCGATACACATTCATCTTTCATTCATTAATATAAGTCCTTTTCTTAGTATTCATTCATAACCATCCATTTCTATTTTAACATTTTTTTAATAGGTTTGACATTCAATTTCTTAGTATATTAATTTCCCCATTTTCATTTACATGAGCACCGTCTAAATGTACCAATTAATGTACAACCATTTCCATTTTATTTCCTTTTCCTTTTTCTTTTCCATTTTAACGTGCACGAGTACGTTGCTTCCCCAGTTAGTACCATACGGGGGTGAACTCTTATAATTTGCAAATACCTTTTCCTTGTTATAATTACGTCTTTTTATTTCTATACATATGTATAACTTTTGTCTTTCATTTTGTTTACCATTTTTCACTTTCAATTTGATCATTATTTATACCTTTGCATATTTCATATCTTACATAAATTAATAAATTTTTTCTTTAATAAAAGCTTCAAACATTTATAACAGATGAAATTTATCAGAAGACTTTAGAATCATGAGATATCTATCTATATTCTCAACATTTATAATTTATGCAAATAATCAAATGTTTAAAAGATTGTATGCATAAAATAATATCATAAAATTACATAATTTACCTACTTTGAATCTTTCAAGTCTTTGATCTTGTCACAACCTCAGCCTCAAATTTCCGCTCTTATTGCATTCCTTGAAGAACCCAATTTCTACAACTTGATCTCTCCTTTTCTAAAATCCCTAAAGCCATACAATATAACTTTCATGAAATGTAATTAAATAACAAAATTTAACTGAAGTTATGCAACTAAATTTTACTTACAAAAGAATTTTCTCAAAATCTCTAAATCATTTTTCCTCTTTCAAAATTCTTTCTCTTTGCTTTCAATCTCTTCTTTTTTCCTTTAAGAAAATATCATTCGCTTAAAATGAAGTAATCGACGAAATTGATAAGAAAAAATGAAAAGAAAAATTTAACAAACCTTCTTTACCCTTTCCCTCGGTTGTTTCTCTCGTTCGTTGAAATTTCTTGTCAGTCTTTTAGCAATAGAAATGGGAGGAGGCCGGCGGTGGAAGTTGAGAGGGAGAGGGAGTTTGACTCTCTTGCGTGGGTGAGAGGCGTGAGTGAACGTGAGGGGGCGGTTTAGTGAGAGGGAGTGTTATGAGGGATGAGGGGTTTAAGTGAGGGTATGTTGGGAATTTTTACTCTCTCTTTAAATTTTTATCTATATATGAAATCAAAATTTTTTTATTAGTTGTGCTTCGACTCGGCCTTCACTTTGTCATCATTCATACACATCAATGCTGTCTCGATTTACACATGAAATTTAAATTTTCGCCGATCGACGACCCTGATCAATATGGGTATCAATCTTAGCTGTTTTCATTATTCCAGACGCACTGATGCTGTCCATTTTGTGAACAGAGGCCATTTCAGTCATTATGGTTAATTACGCTGGATGTCGCGCTCTTTTGCTTTTGAAATTCACCGTGTGGTCGATTTAACCCCAACACTAGTATTGAAGTCAACAATGATATATTTTTCTTATTGGAAAATAATTTGCTTGAAATTTACTATGTCCATTCTTATAAGTGAGGAGATGCTCATCTCTTTTTTAAAATAAAGTATTAGCATTTGCTAGATAAGATGATCCTATTATTTTTATTAGTTGCTCCAAACCCATAGCTACTGTGAATATATTAAATTTGTACCACTATCAATATCTCCATTTAAATTTCTTCAAAACTCTTTTTTTAAGTAGGTTTTGTATTAATTTTTCTAATTTATTACAAAATTTTATTTTTGAGCATATATCGAACCATTCTTGACGAGCATAAGTACTTATAATATTAATAATCTTAGTATCAACAATAATTTTTAAAGCTATAATTCTGTCACGATCCGGCCCGGTTAGCTCGTATATACGAGGCGGGAACGAAATCGGACGCTCAGAACAATCTCTAATTATCTTACATGTTAATAAAAATTTCTAAAAAGACTTCAATAACATAAAGCGCCTCTAAACATTTTAATTTCATTTCAAAAAAAGAGTTCACAATATATACAAGGTGGCTAAAATTTCTAACTATTCATGCTATGACAAAGTCACCCAAAAGTAAAGGAACTACAACTAGTAAAAAAAAATAATAAAAGAACCTGTCACCCGGGGTACGACGACTGTAAGTAAACCTCGGGTTATCAGCCATCTCTTCTTGCAGGTTCTCCTGAAAAGTATCCCACACTAGGGAATGAGTTAACGTGTAATTTCTAAACATGCTCACATGACTTATTAAACGAAAATTACATTTTTTAAACTAAATGGAACATGCTTTTCTTTTCATACACATGCTATCTTATTTATGTCTTTAGAATAGGAGATAATTTAGATATGCCATATGCATATATCTTAGATATATATCATGTAATGAAATGTCATCTCAAAATGCTTATTTATTTATCATATACAACCGTCCTGGAGTATCAGGGGTGTACTGATCAGGTACACAAACCTCTTTTGGCCATTTATTCCTTTTCCTCATTTGCTCCAAGGGCCATAATGTTCCCGTATTGTTCATATGTGCTTTTGCACGTACTTGGTACTCCGCAATCAATCATGCACAATCAATTCTATATTCTTTTCATATGAACATACATTCCTTCCTTTTCATATAATGTCATATATTTTCATAAACTAATGTTTGACATGAAATCTCTAAACATGAAATAAATAACATGTAATGACTACACTTAAGCACTTAAGCATGAAAGAAACAATGAAGCAAATATATTGCATGTGTAACAAATATTCCATTTCTATAAATCATGTCATAAGGGCTTAACATATAAAATGATATAAACATGAAATATCAAATGGACATGTAAGAAAAAGATTTCCTACCTCCTAAAACTATGAAATCCTCCTCTTCTCCTCTTTATTTACTCTTCTTCTTGCCACCACCTAAAGAAAAACAACTCAACTTAAACTTCTTGTCAAAATAAAAATGTATGTTTCACTAATTCTTTTATAAGTTCCCTATCATCTTCCTACACCTATCCTTAAGGTAAAATATCATCAATCCTCACACAAAATTTTGATTTTTCATTAATTAATTTCGGATTTAAATAAAATCTAAATTATGGGGACCTAAAAATTCATTCATTTAATTCCAAGTTCTTCTAAAACATTCCCCTTCCTTATACATATAAATAAAACATTATTATTTTCGGAATTAAATCATAAAATAATTAAGAAAATTATTTTTTTTCTCAAAATTTCAATTTCTATTATTTAGAGACATCCCTAAACCCTTAGGAATAGTTTTAGTGAACATGCAACCCCAGAATCCCTAAGTTAGGAAAAAAACCTAATTTTTAAAATAAAAATTCCTTAAGAAAACATTTCATTTTCTTCAAAACATCCCTTTCCTTACATTCTTCCAACAATCCCTACAAAATAAAGCATAAAAAAAGAAACCCTAATTTCGGATTTAATTTTTTTTCCTTAATAAATCTTAACATTTAGGACATAAAACAATAGATCCAAACAAGCCCTAAAGGCTTTCTAAAGAAATCCCTAAGAAAAACCAAACCCTAAAATCTTGCTTCAATAAAAACTAAAAAAAAAATACAAGATTCTTCAAAAAGAAGTTACCTCCTAGCTTCTCCAAGCCTCCCTTTACGTTTTTTCCTAAAGGAACTCGCAGGAAAACTCGCCGGCCGCCGGCCAAGAGTCTTCTCCCGTCGCCTACCTCTCTCTCCCGTCGCCCTCTCTTCGGGTTCGGCCGAAAAGAACACCAAGGGACCGATTATTTCGGTCCCTAATTAAGGCTTGTGAGGGATTTAGAGAAAATTTAAATGCCATATTACGCATGTACCCTTGCCATTTTCATTTCCCTTAAGAAATCCTAGGGGTAACAATGGAAGATGAGGCTAAAAGTTACTTAAACGATATTTGACAAATTTTAATTTCAAAACCGTGCGAAATTGGAAACAAGTTCTTTATATCAATTCGATCGAAATTTCATGGCGAATTTAATAAAATTTATTTCGTTGAATTCTGACAACATCGAAATTTCACTTAAGTTCATCGCGACGCATCGAAATGCGTGCGACGCACTCAAATGACGAATTTCTGGGTTTTACAAATTCTATCTCTAATTTTCTATATTAACTATTAACCGTGAATACAATATTGAATTTAATCAAATATTCTACAACTTTAATGCATTTATTCACAATATGAGCTTTTTTGATTTCTCCGAAGCTTGTTTCATTTATCTTTTTTAGTCTTGTTTCTACTATCAGGGATCTATCACTGAATGCATTTAACCTAGAATCCTAGATTCTCTTGCTGTTTTGATTATCAAATTTATACCTTGCTTATTCCAAATATGAATCTTGAAAAAAGATGATGGAATAATGCTAAAGTGAATTACTTAATTTTTGTGGTTGTTTTTCATTAACCTCATCTATTTTTGGCTTCTCTATTTTGATTTTTATCTGTGAACTAGATATTGGATTTTATCAAATAGTCTACAACTTGGATCCTTCTATGCACCGCAAGAACTTAATTATTCCCGTGAAGTTTGTTTGATCGCATCCCTTGTAGTTTTGTTTCCACTCGAGGGATCTATTATCTAATTCATTTAAACCTAGATTCTACATTTTTCTATTGTTCAATATTAGTAAGAAGCAACTCGTGCTAGAAACCCAACTTGTTTCTAGCTAATTTTTAACTGCGATTCATTTTACAAATGCATATAAGTCTCATTCTCTTATCAAAATTGCTTTTATACCTATGATCTTGATAAATCTTGCATTTGATTGGAGGGATTGGTGTGTGTTGGACTATTTGAAAAGAGTGGAAGATTAATACTTGGCTAGATTTTCCTTAGCTTTTATGTGGATTTTGTCTATTTTGGTGGAGCAATGTATGGAGTTAATATGTCTACTGCTTATTAGCATCACCTTTGAGGAAGAAACAATCAGCACATCAATTAGCCATATTTGTAAGGCAATCCAGGGAATGAATATAATGCTCAAATTTGTCTGTATATATACTTTAGGAAGGTGCTTGTGTTTATATTAGGTAGGCTTTTCTGCAATTATGTATTGTTTAAATGCTTTATATATTTTTTCTATTTTATTGTAGGATATTTTAGGGAAAATTCTATAAGATGGTAGTGAGGCCTGCAATGCTTTACGGTGCTGAATGTTGGCCATTAAAAGAGAAGCATAATACTAAGTTAAGTGTGGCAGAGATGAGGATGCTTAGGTGGATGAGTGGCTTTACCCTTAGAGATAGGGTACGAAATGAGCATATACGTGAAAAGGTTGGAGTAGCTCCAGTAGAAGATAAGATTAGAGAGAGTCGCCTTAGATGGTTTGGTCACATAAAACGACGGCCTTCCAATGACCCGGTTAGGAGAGTAGAGGTATTAGATTTGACTTATGTTAAGAAAGGTAGAGGCAGACTTAAAAAGACTTGGTTAGAAAATATTAGAAATTACCTTTCTTTATTAGATTTAAATGAGAATTTGACCTTTATTAGGACACAATGGAGAAAAAAGATTCGTGTAGCCGACCCCACGTAGTGGGATAAAGGCTTGATGTTGTTGTATTGTAGGATACTTTTCTTTTTCCTTGAGTGGTCTATATATGTAGTATCATGCATCCACTGCTTTGAATCAATAAGAAGAAAATAACATTGCCTGACCTTTTCTTTCTTTACATGTTTCCATGTCTTTCCACAGAGTTATGCGATGATGTACTACAGGTGCTAGGAAAGTAATTACACGGTTTCTATTTTTTCATTACTGAAGTGTGCTTCTGTAAAATCTTAAATTTCTGGTGGCGTATCACTATTAGATTTCGTTTGGGACAGCTTTTTAACTGCTTCTTAATGCAGCTTTCAAATATACAAATTTAAATTTTTACAAAAAAACTACTTTAACAAGCCGTAAGAAAGCCGTCCCAAACGAAGCCTTAGTTTGCTATAGCTGAGTTCCATTAGGTTTGTTTTCTTCTGCAGTTTGAAGGTAGTCTTGAATAAGTTTGTATTGCACTAATTGTTAGCATTTATCTATTTACCATCACTTCTCAGGTTTAGTTGTTGGTGGTTTTGCTAATGTTTCTAAAACAGAAATGAATCTTAGGTTTGTTTCATGTTATCTTTTTCCTTTAAATTTATCACCAATATGTGCCATGCTTTTGTTTCTTAGTTGCTACGTGGTTGCTTGATCATTACAGGAAATGGTTCAACTTTCACGAAGAGTTTTTCTTCCTCTTCTTACTGCCTCCGATTATATTATATCCAAACCGGTTATGTGGTGCCGTTATTTTCTTTTATCATTTTTGCTAGAACACGTGAATTTTTTACAACTGAAGTTTTTTTGTTTTTCCCTTGACTGCGCCCTACTCAGTCTGGTTTCAGCTTAGCACCTGTAAGTCCTTTATGCTTATTTTTTGTGCAGATACTGCCTTTTTAGTAATACGTTAAATTTGTTTCTGATGTACCCATCCAACTTTTTTCTTTCAGAAACCATTCTTTTCAAATTTTGGAGCCATTATAACGTTTGCTATACTGGGAACGTTTATAGCTTCAGTTATTACTGGTCTTTTAGTGTAAGTATGCCAATGTGCTAACACCTTTTTCTTGCCAAATAAGTAGTCTGTTTTGTAGTTTTTAATCTGAATAGTAGCCTATTTGCAGCTACCTTGGTGGATTAATATTTATCATGTATAGACTGCCGCTGGTTGAATGCATGATGTTTGGCGCTCTTATATCAGCCACTGATCCTGTGACCGTGTTATCTATATTTCAGGTTTCTGACCGTTTCTGATCTTTCATCAGCTTGCTTATGCTATGTGCATGGATTTGCCATTTATGCTCATCTTGTTGCTGCTTATATGTATTAAGTGTAGTTTAAGTCTTGAAAGCTAATGCAAAGATATTATGACCACTAAACAGTTTCAGAATCTTCTTGGCTGACACTCACTGCAAATCTTTTATCTGCTTATATGGGTTTGTTTTTTTAATAATTTCTGAATGTTCCTTCTATGCAACGCTTTTATATATTGAGCAACCTTTACAAGCGTCAGATCATCATAGTTCCTGTGTTTTCCCGGCCATGCTGGCTTTAGCAGCCTATTTTTACATGTTTTTGGTCTTGCATTCGGCCCTATTGAGTGACATGTTCTCTTTGTATTCCTGCTATGAAGAAATATGAAGTATTTACATGCAATTTTTCTAGTTCTTGAAAATTTAATTTTATTTAATGAATGCTTCTGAAAGATGTTCAAGAAGGATCGGGACTTTCTGCTGTATGGAAAGCCTGGAACTTTTATGGTTTTGAACTTGATTTCTTAAATGATTTCCTCTGTTACTATATCTGAATGAGCGGGCATGCATCTCTTCATCTGTCTTTTCTTTCTTTCCTTCTAATGCAACACAAGAAAGTGTGGGAAGAAGGGATCTTAAAGCTTTCTTGCTTTCCGAAAATGTTTGTTGCTTGACTTAAATTTTTAAATATAGGATTGATTTTCTGTAAATTTAGATATGAATGAATTTTCAGCTTTCTTGTATGCCCATATGATTTGATTTAACCCATACCTAAGTCGAACACTACCTTCCCAATCAAGGAAAGACGACTCAAATACCTAACTTTTAAGCGATCATCTATAATGAAAAATAACATGAAAGACGCTCTAAAAGCCTAAGGCATGATACAAATAAAAATAGTAAAAATAAACAATGAAATAAATTATGATACCACTACTAAATCAATCTCTCTTTTACTTGTGTGATTGCTTGATTTCGTGGTCATATTATGTTTTTCCAAATATCCTAATGCTTCTTTGGATGAATCATGATCATACTTCTGACGATTCAAAGTAGCTTGAGGATTGCTTCGAATATGTTAGAAGTACCATTTCCAGCCAGATTTCATTTCGAGTATGTCAGATTTTTGCTCACCTATTGTTTTGTATTAATTAATTTTGTTGGTCATTCTTTTTGTCATAGCTAGTTTTTACGAACTGATTTTGATATTTGCTTAGTTTTACATTTGTAATACATTTTTTCCCATCAATCCATACCACGGATATTCCTCTTTTAATGTCTTTTGCACCCTTATTTTGCTCGTCATATAACACAATCTGCCGGGGAAGCAGGGAAACCTGTTTGCTTTTATTTGATGCATATAAGTTACGTCTGAGTCTTAAAAAGATGTTTTATGCACCTCTCTTTTGAGAGTAGTTTCTATTAAGTTTTGTGTTTGGTTTTTGAGGGATACTTGCGTGATGCTGTCTATTGCACAGTATGTAAACATTAAATATCAGATTTACATTGAAGAAGGGCTTGCAGGTTATTTTGGCGTCTGTTTCTTATGCTTTTGCCTGTACATGTTGTCTAGGAAAGTCTCACTTACCTCATCTTCATTTTGCTTATATGCTGCACAGGAACTTGGTACTGATATGAACCTATATGCATTGGTGTTTGGAGAATCTGTTCTAAATGATGCAGTATGTTTGAAATCCCAGCATACCCAAATTAGTCACTGTTTTATTGCTTTAACATTTCATCCTCTTATTTTCTCATTGTTTTGTCTTTTCAATCTTGGCAGGTGGCAATCTCTTTATACAGGTGAGCTTCAATTTTCGAGTTTATTTTTTTCAAGTAACCCTTGCATATTGCTTTTGTTTTGACTTTCGCTATTATTTCAGGACAATGTCATCAGTAAGAAGCCATGCTTCATCTGGGCAACACTTCTTTGTGCTTATTGTTAGGTTTCTGGAGACCTTTATCGGTTCAATGTCTTCAGGTTTGTATTGGCTACTTCAAATTTCTATTTTTAATTATCTTGTTTGAGTATTTGAGGATTGTTTTATAATGAAGCAGACATTTGCATGTGTATAATGTACAATTGAGTTATTTTGTCTTATTTTTATAATATATATATTTTTTAATTCTTTAACTTTCATTGGAACAGATTTGTACATCTAGTCTTTTGTTTTCAAGTAGAATTTGTAGCGAGTGTGGTATTGCTTAAGACAACATTTGCAATGTCTTGTTTCTGCCCCTGCATGAATGTGCGAAGGTTTTGTGTGAAACTTGTGGAATCAAGCTTCAATGCTCCAATTCCTACATGCTTTCTTTTATTATTAACTAGGCATCACATTCATGTGTGAAATAGGTTTGATAATTCAATACATGACCGCTTTTTCTGCTTTGTTTGATTTGGGTACTGATATCATTTCATTAAAAAATTGTTTTGGGGGTAGTCTATCTTTCTTGAGGCAACCAAATGGAAAGGTCTTTCTGATGTATGTTCCATAATTTTTGGATGGATTTTGCTGATAAAATCGTTAAGTAGGTGCCTATCATAATTGTGGGTTTCGTGATTTTTGAGTTGCTCTACTGTAATGTCTAATTGGGGTTTTCATATGGTAACTGGTGCTCTGTGAAGAATAAAGTGTCACCAAATATCTTCATATCAGGAATTGAATCACATCTATCTTGATATGGTTTTCAATTCATAACATTGTGTGGCATCATTGGGACCAAATATGCAATCACTCAGCGTGCTACTTGGGAAATTGGGTATTCAACTATTCATGTCATTCATCTTGAATGCACCTACAATAAATTGTGCTGTTGAAAGTACTTACTTTGAACTTACGCTACTCAGTCATTGTTTAATATTTATTGTATTAATTAGGGTAAATATCATGTAGGACCCTCATATTTGGGCCGCACGCATCATGTCCGTCTACTTTGATATCTGATGATGCTTAATTATAGCTGGCTTATCAATATGGGATTGTAGGTGCTAGTTAACTTTTGCTAATTTGCTAATTGCATTATCTTTGTTTATGGAACCTGCTGGATCCCTATATCCCGCTAGTTAAGGAGCTTCTATTTCATAGGATTTGTTGGATACTGCTTCTAGTAGAGTTCCTATTTTACAATATCTCTATCACATCTAATCCACCCATCGACCTATTGAAATTATAATTTTTTTAAATTTCGGGCTTTTACTCGAACTATTTCTCATGCAAGTGATTTTTTTCTTGTTGCTCCGGGTTTGGGATAAGATTAAAGTTGAGTGTGATGTTTGTTTAGAATTAGATTGGGTTTATCATGTGCCAATCATATCTACTAACCCAGGGATGAGCAACCTATAACTAGATGTCCTAGGCATGTAAATGATCATTTTTGGCGAAATAAAATTTCTTTCCGTTTTCAATTTTGTGCATGTAAGTGATGGACCGATGATTGTTGAGTTATTGAGCTGCTGAGCAGGTAGGCCCCACAAATATAATGCCCAATTTTTTTTATTATTATTTACCGCATTTCATCACCCCTCCCTAAAAGTTTGACATTATATATATATATATATATACAAAATCATTTAATAATATTTAAATTTAAGCCTTTGAATTTATTAAAAGTTATTTATTAAGTCATATATGGGGATAAACCTGACAAGGTAAGCCTTAGGGAAGCTGTACAGAAGGTACCCTACACTCTCTCACTTCTAAAACTTGAGAATTCAAACCCAACCTTGAATTTGAAAGCTGTAAGTGTGCAAAAATCTATAATTGTTATATGACTTGTCTAATGTATTGAACAATAAACAGAACAGAAAAATGTGAAAATTAGATATACATTGATGTATTGTATAGCTTATGATTATTATATAAATTCCCATTTTGTTTACAATTAACTGCAAATATGTTTTTTATTTCTTATACTATGTTTGTGTATTTCATTGAGCTCTAGCTCATTAGCAGTGATATACTGCAAGAAAGAGGAAGGAGCCAGTGGGGCTCTAGGCAGGAAGATTGATTGCACTTTGTGTACGCATGTATAGAGGTCGAAATAGAAGTTTTAGAGACACTTTTGGGTATATAAATGTTATTTGAAAGTTTAGTAAAGCTCTGTATTTTATTTAAGGTGTTTTAAATATGTTTCAAGTTATGAAATGTTGATTCGAATAAAGATTTGAAAAACTTGATGTGTTTGGATAGTCTGGATATGCTATTTCCTACTCACTTGATCTTGATTGAAATATTTTAGGATGTGTGTTAGTAAGTAATATGTTTGTTTATATTGTCCTTCTCTGTTACACTCCATGCTGACTTGGGGGTGGGGTGGGGGGGGGGGGTTCAAAATATGGGGCGTGACAACTAAGGTGGGCAGCGAGCAAGAGGAGAGATGGGCTCAACGGGGAATAATTCCACCTCTAATTACTTACCATAGTAGAAAAAAATTAAAAGGGAATTATGAAAGTTTATTTAAAGAAAGTGGGTTGATTTGGATTTAGATTTAGAGAGGGAATAAGAAAAGTTTATTTAAGGAAAGAAAGATTGATTTGAATTCAGATTTTGGGAGGGAATTAGAAAGCTTTATATTAGGTTAGTTGTGTTATTTTAGGATTATGAGATTATTCGTGTTTGTTGTTGTTTTATTTGGAGTTATTCCTAGGGGTGGCTATGATTTGTGGAGAGTCAATCTACCTCTCGAATAGAAGATCAACTTTAGGATTATGAGATTATTCGTGTTTGTTGTTGTTTTATTTGGAGTTATTCCTAGGGGTGGCTATGGTTTGTGGAGAGTCAATCTACCTCTCGAATAGAAGATCAACTTGTATCTTGGTTTTTTGTGCTGAAATAATAATTTTTCTCATCGATTTTTGTTGCGCTTTCTCTTCGTTTGTGTTGTTTTCGCTATGTAGAGTTCAAGTTCCTAACAAATTGGTATCAGAGTTGATTTTGACAAAGAAGATTTGTTAGGAATCTAATCTATTATACACAACGAAAGCAGTAAGAACAAAGAGAAAACATAGTCTTGGTATTAGTGGAGAGGCGTGAGAGACATGGGTGGATTATAGGGTGGAGAGGTACTTTTTGGTGACTGGTCTGACGAAGGAGGATAGACTCACTGTGGTGGCTTGTTGCTTGGATGGGAAGGCCTTGGTATCGGTGTAGAGACACGAGAGATCAAATCCAGTTGTGAAGGGAGTTAAAGATAGTTTATTATAACGTTTCTAAACAAGTTGGAAGGAGAACTTCTACAAGCAATTCTTTGCTCTGATTTAGGAAGAAATAATAATGGATTATCAGGAAAGATTTGAGTATCTTTCTAGCCGATTGGGGAGGCTATTCATGAAAGTGTTGGAGGGAAATTTCATAAAAGGGCTTATGCCAAAGATTAGGGTCATTGTTCGGAGGCCACGAAGGCTGGGGGAGGCTATAAGCTAGCCCAGTTAATCAGGCATAAAAACTTGAGAGAAGAAGCAAGGGTGGCATTTCGGGATCTTCATACTAGGCGATGACTACTTTTTTTAGTACCAAAGTACAACTTGTGCCCTTTCAGAGAGAAGTACCGAAGGATATGTGATTGGGAGCACGACCTAAGGGAAATTTCAAGCGGTTGGCTGAGGCAGAGGCTCAGGAGAAGCGGGCTAAGGGATTGTGTTTCCGTCGTGATAAGAAGTTTGTATCGGGCCACCACTACAAGGATCGTACGCTGTAGGTACTTACAGTTTGTGATGAGGAGGTGTAGACTCTAAAGAAAGAGGTGATTGAGGAGTATTATCACCTAGACGTGGCGGTGGTCTCCCTGAACTCAACGATGGTGTTTACTAGGGATGTCAATTTCGGGTTCTGGTCGAACCCGGAAATGACCTGACAAGATTCGGGTCAACCCGAACCCGATCCGTTTGTAAAAATGGGTCGATTTTTCGGACCCGAACCCGACCCGCTTCAGGTTAACCCAACTCGACTCGGGGACACGACAACGCCGTGAGCAGCTTCACGGCAGCGGCGGTCCTTCAACCAGCGTTCGGCGCAGCGGGACTCGACAGCGGTCACGCGGGATGCAACAGCGGGGCTAGCAGATGCGACGCGAAGGCTGCGGGTGAAGCGACGCGGTCACGCGAGCGGTCAACGGGGGGTAGAGCAGCTCGGTCAGCGGGTCAATCCTAGTCATTTTTGGGTTTCCGGGCCAACTCGTACCCCACCCGATTTTTGAAACAGGTCGAAAACTCTAACACAAACCCGACTCGAACCCGAAATTTTCGTGTTGGGTTCGGGTCAGGTTTTTAGGTCGTGTCAAATATTGAAACCCTTAGTGTTTACCCTCCAATCACACAATGAGGTGAGGGGTCAGATATGAGAAGAATCAATGGTGGTTATGGTGGATTGTTGGGCGACTCACAATTTCATCTCTATTGACTATAAAATAAACAAAAAATAGAGAAATTCTGAAGCAACATACCTGCCTCCGAGCTGGCCCCACCTTGCGCGATTTGCCCAAACGACGCACTTCTTTGATCTTGTAACTTTCCACACGATTCAAAACCTCCCCAAACCGCTCTTTCCTTCTCATTCGAACCCCTCTCTCCGATCGAGTCCTCCGCCTTCGCCCTCACTTCCGCTAAATCCCTACCGTTCGTCCATATGCAGAAGCTTGTGATCGAGCCCCTCTCTCTGACCGAGCCCTCCGCCTACCACATTCAACGCCCCAGACCCCCGGTCACCACCAACGTCCAATTGAGCCCTAGCCATCCAACACCCCTGCCTCCCTTGCGCCCTATTTGCGACCAAAATACTCCCCTCTTGTCGCACTCAACCCGATCGCAAGCCACAAGCAAATCCCGTCGGCTTACCTTTGCATGGACCTAAGCCCGAGCAAATATTGCTTATAGACATACTTTGTTCGCACGCTTCTTCGATCAAATCCCATAAATTCGTCGAATGAGATTTACAACAAAAAGAGGAGAATTAAAGATTTAATTCACTCCCGTATGATGAAGTC